CATGTATATTTAACACAGTAGAACCAGATGCACCATTTAAAAAAAAAAGTAAAAACACTTTAAACTGTTATCTGAAACACATGAAGGGGCTTGTTAATCATATTTTCAAAATTCGGGATGTGCCCATACAATTCTTACTGATAGGCGTTTGCCAGGTCAGCGCCCAACACCTTAATCTGAGTAAGACTTCCATTAAGCAACTCTGACAACTTAGATCAGACCTCTAAGCCTTTTACTTCAAAACCAACTCAGTACCTTAGAATAAGCATGTACTACAACTAAGAGACTAACTTCATTATTTTGACCCAGAACAACAAAATGTTACATACAAACACTTCCTCATTCTCTGACCTTTTTCATTTAATTACTTCCTGTGACTTCTTCTGGCACTGTGCATGCAGCATGCTGAATGAAAGCAGCATTCAGTAAAGCTGAATCATATTATTCACGCAAATTCCATCAAATACAATATTCTCTCTCCTTATATCCACAAACAATACCAATACCAACACATTCATTTAGGATTTGTGTTGCATGTTACCTGCCCACTTCTTGAAAACAAGATTTACAGCTGTATTGAACATAGAACTAGCTAATATATCTTTGGCTGTACAAACTACAGTGCAACAGTGCAGAGGCATTGATTAATATATTAAAGTCTCTAGCTTGAATTCAATCAAGGTTATGGCTCAATTATATTTAAGGCTTTATTAAAATTTCCTTGCGCTCCTCTTGTATCTTGGGGTTGACAAGTCAGGTGCTAGTTTGGTGAAGAGAGGAACTGATGGAGAAAAAAGCCTTAGAAGCAGAAAGAGTCATTTTCTGCGCAATGACAAACTGACCTCCAAATATTGATCTTGCATGGTGCAAACAGTCATTAAGGAACCAATGGGTCTTCGGCATTGTTCTAAACTACATTTTTCTTTTGGGCTTTACAAATCATTACAGAATTGTTCAAAAGTTCACTTGGTCCCATGTACTAAAAGAAAAGAATCTTAGCTTAGTTGAAGACTTTTATTTTAAAATGCATCTTGACAGTGGCCTTTTTTGTAATCTGGCTGTTACATTTGTTCACTGTGCACTCAGTAAAACCAGAATAACTATGCAAATTAAAGCCAGATATCTAGGGCAAATAGCATAGTTTATTACTGCTGTTCTGACAGCTTGCGAAAAACTTATCAGAAAAGTTGATCCTTATTTCACCACATATACTGAAGTGCACTTCACCCACCCTTGAGGTGATAAACGTACTAGTTGTTAGTCAGCAGCACTATCCATCACATCAGGATAGGAGGTGAAAAAATAACTCAGAGAAAACTGTGGTTTGCCTAAATATTCCCTGTTAATTTAACAGCCTAAGATGTATTGCAGCAAGTTGTTTCACTAGAACAAACACTATTACTGTTGCAAACAGTTGCTCAGGATGTTGAAGGGACCACAAGTGGTCAAGACCTTTGTTTCACATTTGACCGGACAGGCAGCACTTCCAGGAGCTATGATAACAATTAGCACCATGTTGAGAAATTGGTTCTATAGTTATTTAAAAAAAATTGCTGCCCACGTAGTCACCAGCATCATTTGCTATCAGCCAAAGGATTTCCTTCCAAGTCACTCATTTAAATTATGACCTGGACCAACCTGCACTACCACAGGGCATGTCAGTGTGATGCAAGCCCCCATATCCCTCTGCCTCCAGAAAGTTTTTAAAAAAATATATGAAAGAGCCTGCAAAATAAAGCAGCCATGGGTGACTAACTTTTATTTTCCAAGCATGACAAAAATGCTAATATAAGAAGCAGACAGTTGAGGGAATTTTTTTCCCAAACAAATTAAGGTTTACCACTAAAAAACAAAGTATCAGATATCCCACACTTTTCTGTGTTATTTTAAACCCATCATTCACCCTTGAACCAAACCCAAAGTTTTCCAATATCAGGAAGGTACCATATTGTTTAGATTACACTTAACTGAATAAATACACAGCCATTATTAAACATAATTATTGTAAACCAAAATATTAATTTCTCTACGACAGACTCTGTTTGCTTCAGAACTGAGCTGTGGCCTATTATACTGGAAAAATGTGGCAAACTTTTTTGCAGTAATAATCCTACAGTGTTTTGTTTAAATGTAGCTTTAGAAATGAAGAAAGAATTCAAAGGATACACTGGACTCATTTGGAATCTACTTTGCTAGACTTCAAAACAAGTTATTAGTGTCACCAATTAAACCTTAATTTAAGTCTACATGTATATACATTTATTTTTATGGCTTCATCTTTGACAAGGCCAAAAATATTATTTCTTTTAGCACCTGGGTTGAATTCAAAAGACATTTCTTTTGCCACCAGCTTTTCTGAAGCAAGCAAATTTAGAACTGTCTTGATTTTTAGTTATACCTGTAGCACAGCACACTCCATTGAATCATCATGTTTATGCAATTTTAACAATGCTTTACAGGCCCTGAGAGGAGTCATTCTGAAGTTATGTTTAATGCCAAACACTGGAGCACGTACCAGTTTTATGTGGTGACTCATATCTCGACTGTCAAAACCAGAAAAAGAGATAGCCAGAAACAATGTTTTGGTGAGCACTGAGTAGCTGTCCCTGAAATACCGTGGCACTGCATGAGTTTATTTTCTTTTGGGGGAAATAGTGTTCTCAGTGGTTTTCAGATCAGTTCCCTCAGGGCACCTCCAGCATTTCCCCACTAAAAAGCCTCATTAAGCCGTTCTGAATTTGGAAGTAGAGTTAACACTGCCGAGTTCAACAGGAACATGTTTACAAACAAACAAACCAGCTAACAATCCTGCCTAATTCTGCCTTTTCTTGGCTACTGGTATTACAGCCATTAAAAATATAGCTCCAGACCAGACCGTTAGTAGGAAGCTTGCACATAGATTCACAGATTGTAAGGGGCTGGAAGGGACTTTGCAAGATCATCCGGTCCAGCCCCCCCTGCACTAGGCAGGAAACATCTTGTGCCTGAGAAGACTACTATATTTCAGGCGGGGAAAGTTACATGAAGAAGGCCCTCATCCTGCACACGCTTCCATGTGCCATTAAGCTGACATGTGTGTTCAATTAAACAGGCTGAGAGGCTATAGAAGCAAATGCCTCATGGACTGGGATGCCCAACTAGACAGGCCAAGGAGGGACTAGAGAAGCGGGCACTTCATGAAGTGGGGTGCCCAACTAAACAGGCCTAGGGACTGGAGAAGCAGGTACCTGACTGTCTCCTCTTCTCCCACTGGATCACTGGCAGGAAGGAAGCCTAGCAGGCTGGAAGCAGTGACACCACCCTTCCTTTTTCATTCCCCCCCTTTCAACAGGTCTAATCAAGATGTGACAACCTAGGTCTGAGGGGGAACCGCACTCCATTTCCCTCCCCAAGGACAGCAGGTGGAAGCAGGCTTTCACAAGGGTATCTCCCAGCTGGGTAGAGGGTGCTGGACTGTGGGACCGGCACAGGTCTGATCCCCAGCCGTGGGGGGGAAGGGGGGGCCTGTGGCTCAGTCCTCCCTCCCTCCCCCCAAAACCCTTGGTGCAGAATTGAGTCACTTCCCCTCCGCCTCCCGCCGCGGGGGGGGGTGCAGCTCCAGCCTGGCCCCGCAAGCGCTGGGGGCAGTCCCTTGGCGCCGCGCAGCCCGAGCCAGTGAATGGAGGAGGCTGAAGGTGACGGGATTTATGAATGTCAGCATCATGTGACGGCGACGGGGACCGTCTTATTCACAAAACCCGGGGCGGCCCCCGCCCGCCCGGGCAGCAGCGCCAGCACCGCCTCCGCCACACTAACACCCTGTGCCCGGCGACGCTGGGCGGGGCGGGGGGACTGG